CAAGAAACCATGGGGACCAAAGAAGCAGATACACAGACACAAAATATAAAATCAAAGACTACAGGAGGCAATTCTGAATAGCTGTTATATATTTTTGGGGAAGACTAACAGTGCTGTGGTGTAAGTACAGTGGGCCACAGTTAGGCACATGGGACCCATGGATAAAATACTCTTTCAGCCACTCCTGCAAAATTACTTTCACAATGTCTGGCAGCCAGCGTTAAACATAGGGTGACCTGGAGAAAACACTTCTTAAGTTAACAAACAAGGAACCAAAGCAGCTGACAGGGGATGCTTTTATGTATCAGGGAGCCTCCAACACTGTTCAGATACACTAGGGATTACATAATGGTGCATCGGATGGCCATATGGAAAAAGACTGCATACACCTGATAAGATTCATCTAAATTTTCTTCCAACCAATGCATAATACCAAACTAGTGTAAAAATCAGTGTAACTTGATTTCAGTTATCCAACTTCATTTCTTCACATGAGGGAGGAAGAAAGAGAGAATCCAAAATCCACTCATCTTCCCATTTATTCTTCCTCTTTATAACAAGCTGTCTCAATAGGTTCCTACAGGAAACAAGCTGAATTCTCTACTACAAGTTTATTGGGATAACACTAAACATGACAGGGTAATATGGTAATGAGTATCTTGCTGAAGAAAAGTTCTGAAATACCATTTTCCCTTCTATTCATGATTCAAATTATTTCTGCTGCTTAATTTATTGAGAACCTAACAGGTTTCATCACCAGATACAGATTGGCAGCCTTAATCTAAACAAACTCACTGACAGCACTGTTAGAGCTCATTAGCGTTCTCACCAGATGCTTCTGTCTGTATATATGAGTATCTCCAGTTTTTCTTTCCAGTACATAACCCATGATACCAGCATAGCTTTCAAATTAAAACAAGAAATCTCATTACAGCTTCAAATCCTTGCTCTTCTGGGGATTAAATCTCTGCAAGGCTACGACAAAACATTCCATATTTCTTGGGCTTCTTAAAAGCATTTTTTTGTTTGTTTTAGAGATCACTTTAGTGATTTTTTGGCATTTCTCATGAATCTGTACAGATTGACTAACACACACACACTATTTGCTTTCACAGCAAAAGTGCAGAGAGCGTTTGTCACTATAAATACCACACAGGATGATATACACAGACGAAACCTGTGCTTTGTCCGTCTCTGCAAAAAGCAATGCTTTGACACAAAAGCTGTCAGAAATCATTATGGGGAAAAATTTAAAAAAATCTCATACATTGATTAAGTGGCCACAGCCAAAACATTGTAAAAACAAGTAATGACCCAGCTCCAGTTTTTAAGTGAATGAAAAATTAGAGGGCAGGGAGGCCAAATATGTGGGCTTCGCAAAGAATGTCTTCTTGAATCTGCAAAGCAGGTCCAATCAAATCGCATGGTTAGTTTCTTGGTCTATCAGCACTTAACAAGAAATGCAGTGGTGGCAATGATCTCAGCCTCAGCTCATCAGTCACATAGGTACAAAGCATCCAAATGGAAAACAGATTTTCTGATTCTCTGCACCTCCCTAGAGGCCTGCGCTGCTGCCTGAGGACTACAGCATTCTCCTTTCTTGGCTCATTTGCAAGATAAACATATTCCGGCTTCAAATGCTGCTCCTTTCCAACTGCTGGTGAAAACTCCAGTCAGTCTGAGAGATTAAGAGGATGATCTAGGGCGCTACTCAATCCAAGAAAAATGCTCATGTGGGAATGCAAAGCCGTTACTGTGACCAGAAGTTTTTTTTCCACTGGATCTCCTTCTGCAAGTCCAGATTCAAATACTTCCTATCTTTATTCTTCATCCACATTAACTTCCTTTTCTCTCTCTCTTTTTTTTTTTTTTTTTTTTTTTAAAAAAAAGGAATGTCACACTTGGATGTAAACAGATTTTTATAGTTAGTATATTTAAATACAGCTTTTCTGCACTCACAATGACTTAAGATGTGACTGAGACAGTGCTTACACCCAGGCAACATTGGGCTGGATCAGTATGTAGTTTTAACACTTCCAAACACCTGCAGGAAGCAGCATTAGTGATCAGAGAGATAGGACTCTTCTTACCCACTCCATACATAAATTTATAGTTCCTTATAGCTGAGAATATATGTAAATTTATAGTTACCTTCTGATAAGATACCTTCTGAGAATTTTGTAGGAGCTGGTAGATCAGCCCCTACCCTCCTCGGCAAGGTCCAGTTCAGCTCTTCCTTTCTGCCTGTGTCTGTCTCTGCAGTCTCTTTTGATCCCTGTTTTAAAACTCAGGTATAGTGTTCCCACATTTTTCAAACATTCACTGACTTCTAACCCAAAATCAGCTGCAATTCAGCACTTGGAGCCACAGTTCCTCCATGCTACCCATGCTGCCTCAGATGGATATGACTGGGCCCTAAAATCATGCTTATAGAAAGTTTTAAAACATTAGTGAAAGACATCAGGGAAACTGCTAGATTTGGTAAAATTATTAGTGCTACAGACAGATCTCGCATCCTTATTACTTATTGCCCTCTTTGAATTGAAGACAAAATATATAATTTGAGCACTGGGTTAGAAGCTACAACAGGAAAAGGACTAATTTGCTCTGTTACAAAAACCTTCCTAAGTAAGATAATTAAACCATGCACATTAATAAACACAGACTTTTAAGCCTGAAGGACAGATTAAATTATCACCGTGACATGGACAAATTTTTAGTTGCTATAAAGGCACATAATTTCATTGACAACAGTGGCTAGAACAAACATTGTCTAACATGTCTAGAACTGGCCAAAACCCCACAAATCTAGAAACCCTTGAAGTTTGGGAAAGCTTTGATCCAGTCCAGACTTTGTGGCTCTGATCCCCTTCAGCTGGTAAGGACCCAAATCTGCTTAAAATATATTTCACAACACTTCTTTGCCTGAATATTTTTCAGATAGGTCATAAATACCACATGAACCATTTCTCCTTATCCACAACACCTACTAGCAGAGCCAGCTACTCCCATCTCCAACTCAGAATGTCAAACAAGCAAAAAAAAAAAAAAAGATGCAAGGGCAAGCTTTAGATCAGTTGACTTGCTACCAAGAAGCAAGAAGAAAGCGAAGGTACTAAATCTGAACAGTCAGAATGTTTGGAAGAAATTCAAACTGGTGAGAAACTCTATGTGACTTGTACAGTGTGGAACAGCTTGCAAAGCACAAAATGAGCCATACCGCTCCTTTTTTGTTATCCCCAGAAAAAACAAAGACTCATTTGACTACAGTTTCTAAACAAATATATTATGCAAGTCTACTTTTTTTTTTTTTTTTTTCTTCATTCAGTGTAGTAGGAAAGCTGTGATCACAAACCATGTAGGAAGGTTGTGGTTTTCAGATGACCTAGCTGAGGGTGATGAAACAGAGTAAAATCTAACCAGGGAAAAGGAATCTGACAAGCTTTTCTGACTGCATTTACCATTGATATTTTAACAAATAAGCTGCTAATAACTTAAATCAAGTACAGCCAGACCCTATATACACGGATTATAGGATAGTTCCAGTAGGAATGGACCTCAGGAGGTCAGACCAGGTTGGTCAGGGCTTTGTCCAGTTGAGTCTTGAAAAGCTTCAAAGACAGAGACTGCACAGCCTCCCTGGGCAACCTGTGCCCCTGCCTGACTTGTCCTCAGGCTGAGAAAGTTTTTCCTTATACCCAATCTGAACCTCTCTTGTTTCAACTTATGCTTTTTATCTTACAACCGCCCCTCCTACCCACCATTCACCGTGAATAGCCTGAATCTGTCTTCTTGATAATTTCTCCATAGCTACTGTTTGTTAGGGGCTCCCAAAGCTGTCTCTCTTCCAGGCTGGACAAGCCTGGTCCAGCAGTCACTCCTCATGAGGCAAGTGCTCCAGCCCCCTGACTTTCTTGGCAACCCTCTGCCAAACTCACTACAGTTTATCAATGTCTTCCCTGTGTTGAGGTGTGTGCCTGACACAAGGCTTCCCATTCCAGACGTGGTTTAACAAGTGCCAAGTAGAGGGGCATGATCACTTCCATGAATTTACTGCCTGTGCTACTGTTAGTACAACCCAGGATACTTTTGGCCTTCTTAGCTGTCAGGGCACACTGCTGGCTCACGTTCAGCTTGCTGTCTACCAAAATCCCCAGGTCCTTTCCTGCAGAGCTGCTTCCCAGCCATCCAGTTCCCAGCCTCTATTATGGCCAGGGGCTCCTCCTTCCCACGTGCAGGCCTTCACATCTGTCCTTGCTGAATTTTGTAAGATTTTTGTTGGCCCATTCCTCCAGCCTGTTCAGGTCCCTCTGGAAGGCAATGCTTTCCTTCAGTGTTATTGACTGGCTCCCCGTTTGGAGGACTGACTCTTCAATAAAGATGTTAAACAGGATGAGTCCCAGGACAGACCCCTGTGCTACTCCAGTTGTCACAAGTCTCCAGTTAGAGTAGGAATCATTAACTTCTACCTTCTGAGCCTCATCATCCAACCATTTCTTTACCCATCTAATTCTCTGCCCATCTAAACTGTAACAATCAAATCTGGATACACGAACTGTCAAAAGCCTCGTTAGGGTCAAGGCAAATAACATCCACCTCTCTCCCCTGCAACAGTAACAGTGGGAGTTCTGGTACTGAACTTGAGTGAATTAGTCTTAACTCTTTGCTTGGGGAAGACACGCTGGAAAAAATGGCTGGTGCACACACTCTCAAAGGGAGTATTCTCCAAAACACCTTTGGGATTAGCAGGCCAAATCCTTAGCTGCAGTAATCAGCCCAGTTCCATTAAACTTAGCCTATATACAGTATTTCATTTTAGCTAACAATCCTGGCTCATTATGCACCTGGTATTTGTTGCTTCAACTCTACATGCAGGTTGCACAGACAGGCCCTAGGAGCATCAGATAGGAATAGCAAAGAAAGCTAGAGATGCAGAAATTCCTCAGTTCTCTTGGGAGAAGCACAGATCCACTGTGTTCCTGTGACAGTCTTTCTCTTACCTTTGCAAGGAAAATCCATGCTGCATATTGCCCTGAGGTTGTGCTGCTTTTTAGCTTCACTGTGTGCAACATCAGAAAGAATCCCAAGAGTCCACTGCAAGGGATGGGGAAAGCTTGTTAATAAAGTTTCTTAATTTCAACTAAGCAACCTCTTACAGGCACCTTGGTTTTCTTAATGCAGAACTGCAGTGTTAATCCTATTTGGAGAAAGCAAGCTGGTGGGCAAAGAGCTCACATTATGGTCCAGTACATCTTGAGTTTTGTTCAGTCTGTGACTAGAGTCTGAGTAAAGTCTGACGCTTTTATGGCTGGTCTCTAATGAACTTGCATAATCAGAAAAGTAGAGATTATTGGAAACATGAGGTGAAATATTAACTTCAGGCATTGAAATGGCCCTGAATAAAGGCAATGCTAATTTCAACAGGAGCCACACATGTTTGGCAACTAACTCACTCCAACCTCCACAGAGCCTTGAACTGAAAAAATAACCACTGGAAAGTTTCTGCCTGAAGCTTTCAAGCTGTTTAAATTTCACGAAGCCTAAATTCTAATTAGGAAGTCAAATACATCTCTACTGTATAACAAATAGACAGATGACTCAATAGTGCTGGGAACAGAATAGTCCAAAGCTCTCTGCGGACAATTAAGGGAATTTTGATTCTCAAATCATATAGGACAGTAGTCCCCAATGCTCCTGTAGCCAAGACTACTCTTAAGGAAACTGTTCCACATCTCACTGGACTTCACATCTCTTACAAGCTTTGGCTCTGGATTTTGTTTCATTTGTGACATACTTAAAAACCATTGGTTGTGAACCAGTGAAATAGTGTAAACCAGCAAGCAGGGAATAGAAAGGACTTCAAAATATGTAAGGCACAAATTACTGTGTGGCTGGTTGAGAGGCATAAGAGATTACAAAGTACTGTGGGAAGCTGCATGGGAAAGGAGATAGGAACAACACAGCACACAGTTGGCGAGGTAAAAAATGCCTTGGTATTTGAAGAGGGTATGCTGTTCTGGGTAGTGACACAATGCAGCTGGTCCTCCCTCTGCAACGGCCAGAAAGGTGGAAGATGGTGGCTCCCCAGGTCAGAAGTTCCATGCTAGGCTCCAGCACCTCAGCCAAGTGCTGTTCCCTGCTTAGTACCTGTGGCAAAGTTGCATCTCAGCCACATGTCAGCACAGGTGGTTTTGATACACCAAACAGTAGGGTAAGATAACTATCCAGGAGTAGGAGGTACTAAGATTTCTTAAAATGAGCCATAACACAAGACACCAAAGGACTATCCGCTGTGCCTGGAACCAGGAAAGCAGATACTGCTTTGATGATAAAAGACAGACCCAAACAGATCTCCTTGTTGCAGAGGATGAAGCGCTGAGCAGTAGAGCATTCCACTCTGAGAAATCAGTGAGTTCAATGAAGCAGCACTGCACAGACTTTTGAAAGTCCAGTAGCTGGTTTAAGTTTGTTCCACATCATCTGCTCTGCTGAGAAGGGCTTTTACTCAAAGTGATTAGAAGCTGCTTAGTGTAATTCAGAGATTAAAAAGTGAAACAGCTAATTATACTACCTGAACTATTGATGCTGCAACTCCAATTTATTTCATTAAATAAATGGAGCACTTTGCACCCTACGACTAATGCTTCAGATGTTCTGCACAGGTAGTAGATTTAGCTGTATTCGTTACCCTTACTTCACATTGTATAGGTTTTCCTCCAAATCCTTTATGTCTACTTTGTAGACATACTTGTAGACACTAGATTACAATATGCAGGAGAGCAACTGAGTTGCTTGTTTGTCCATCTAACTATTCCTTTCTGCTTGCTGTAGAGTACAGTGCTATCTACTATACATGTACTGAAGCTGGGGCAAAGGAAACAGAAATGGGAGGCTACAACAGTGGTAAAATTCTAATTAAATGAAAGAGGAGAATATCTGGGCTAGACATATACCTGTTAGTGCCTGCAGTTAGACCTTGCCTTCAAGAAGAAATCTACCTACCATGGACCAACTTATTCATTAATACCTAGTTGCAAGTTACTTGCAGTGTGGATAGTTCACCCTTGAAAAAAAGTTTCTTTCATACAAAAAAAGTATGCACATAGGGAAAATATTTAACAATCACTTTTAATACTCCCTTTAATGGAAAATCTGGATACAAGTAAGAAAATCCCTAACAATCAGGAAATATTTTTGCCACTAGTTAGCATGAAAATACTTTTTCCCCTCGAAAAAGAAAATACTTCAATTTGGCAAAGGACCAGAGAAGAAAGACAGGAATAATTTTTTTTGAGATAATTAAGACCTATAGGAAACATAATTACATTGCTCTGTGAGTATTACACTATTGGACAGTGAACTTTTGTTACTCAAAATACGGAAATGCTTGTTAAAGCTTTCCCCTTTTACCCTAAAAAAGCATTCTGCCAAATAACAAGATGTACAGGCAAATAAATCCATGTACACCATATACTGCTGAAGACTACTACTTTGTAATCACTGCAAACAGTAAGTTTTAAAGGGGCTAATCCAACTTGAGAAGCATTTGAGAGATGCTATTTATCAAAGCTTTGCTACATTACGTAGAAATTATTTTACTGGCACTGTAAAAATCTCCTGATCAGAATGCACTCACTCAAATAAACACATATACTTCCATCACATTTGAATCTCAGACCTTCAAATGCATATCCACAGACACATATTCTTTGCAGTTTTACTGGCTGATGCCAACAGAAACTAGTATAACTAAGGTTTCACATGCTCCAAAATTTTAATTGACAGTCAAGGCTGGAAGCCAGTGGGATCTCTTATTTTCAAAACATTCACGTCTTGTTATACAGAGGTTACCTGGCACAGCAGCTGCTATGAAACCTGTAGAAGTACAGGAATGGAAAGTCCAAGGCACTGAAGAGATCACCTGAGGGACAAAGCAATATACTCAGTGGAACACGAGAAAAAGAATTACCCACTGTTACAATCAGGGGAACAGCAATTATATGAACATTACTAGTTCAGCATTCCTTTGAGCCTTTACAGCTGGCTGACTTTTCATTTATGATGCTTTCCACATTTCACATGTGTTTAATGATTTCTCTGACCTTGCTTCTAGACAGTTCCTGCCTTCGCTGAAAAAGGGGAAAGGGATACATAAGACTATTCTTTACTAGTATACAGAAGACCCTGCTTAAGCAACAGTTGCCAGTGGATAGACACGCATCATATCCCCTTCTTTTATACAGAGCTCGTGATAAGTCCTACTGAAGCAACAGGAAACACAGACATATGTTGGCTGCTTTCCCCTCTGGCATTTGAACTCTGTCACACAGAGTAAGTGAGAGGTTTAAAAAAAGTTCTCCCAGATCCAAGCAGAGCTCTCGAGTACTTGTATTTCCAGGAACCTGGGCCCTGGTTGCTCTTGATATCAACAATCCTCAGGAGTTCTCCAGCCTTCAGGTTCTACAGATTCAGAGGAAGCTCCATCTTTCACTTTTGAAATGCAGCACTGTTTTGGTTAATATATTTATCTATCCTGGTAGGTGAATGCAGTATACACAATATGCACCACCAGGCAAAAGGGAGAATTTATAATTATTTAAATGCTGCTTTTTCTGTTTTTCTGACTGAGAAAATGCCTAGTGAAAGCAACAGATAAACATCTTTTTCCTTCTAACTATTTAAACATCAGATGACAGGAATATTAGCCACCATCAAATACTCAATTTCTCCATTTTTAGTCTTTGATATTTTGCTACTTCAAATCCTGCCATGGGCTCAAGCAATAGGATATATCTTAGGAAAGCAACAAAACAAAATCTCTGCGTAGCACTGAGGGCAGTGCAGAAAAGGAAGCTCAGTTCTATAAGGATTGCTGGGACGAGTTCATATTCACCAAGGAAGTCTTTGTTTTTTACCATGCATCACCTCAAAAACTGTTCTTTGTTGCCTGTCCCATGCTGCTTCTTTGCAAAAGGCAGCTAACAAACATATTAGTAAATACGATGCAAATTACACAGTGTTACATACCCTTCTCTCATCTTCCTACAGGTTATCACATTATTGGTCATATTCCTGTTGAATTCCATAGCTAAAATCCTACAGGGTTTGCCCTCTAAAGACATGCATGGAAAGGAAAGGCAATATGGAAACTTAAAAAAGGAACAACTCAATCCACTTTACCTGCTGGATGGGATGCAGAGGCCAACAGCACCACACTAAAAAGTAAAAAAAGATTAATTGTATGCTACAGAATTTTTGACATGGCCTGAACATTATAAATTGAAGGCTTTGTGTTTGTTTTTCATGGTAGAACTTACTGAAGTATAATAACCGAGGCATAGGTATCAATTTAAAAAAGAAAAAAAAAAGTTGGTTGGGAGGAATCTCTGGGGTCACATAATACAACCTCTCACCTGAAGCAGGACTATCACCAATATTTGATTATGTCCTCTGTGGCTCAGTCGCAAAAACCTCCCAGCATGGAGATTTCACACCTCTCTGAGTAACTTGTTCTAGGGCCACCCTACCCTTGTAGTGAAGAATTTTTTCCTGATGTCTTCGTCTTTAAACCACCAAAGCTGTAATTCAAGGTTGTTGTTTCATATTATACCATCTGCCACTCCTTAGAAGAGTTTGGCTCTATCACCTTTGTAACTCCCTTTCAAGAAGGTGTAGGCAGTTTTTAGGTTGCACCTCGTTCTCTACTTTGCCAGTCTCAACAAGATCAGCTCCTTCAAGCTCTCCTTGAAGCAGGCTGTGTGCTCTGGGTCCCTAACAATGTCAGTAGCCCTCTGCTAGTTCTTCAAGTTCTCAGCATCTTCCTTGAACTGGGAGGCCCAAAACTTAACACAGAGTATTCCAGCTGCAGCCTCAGCAATGCTCATAACTGCTCTCGATCTGGCAGCCACACTCCTTCTAATGTCGCCCAATATATGGTTTGCCTTAGTTTGACATGAACATGCACTACTGCCTCATACAGATTTCAGCATTCACTGTTACCCCCCAAGTCCTCTTAACAGACCTGCTGTTCAGCCAGCTGGTGACACCACTGAGACAGAATCAAGAGAGAACTGTGCTTGTGTCTAGACTTGAGCGTGTCTCTGTCCAAGGATTAATTGCAGCCGTGTGCATACTGATGTCCATTTTATAGGGATGAGCATATATTGCATACGAGTCAAATATAGCGTCTTATGCACATGACTGTGCATGCACTGCACATTCACAACCAAAATGTCAGTTAGAGAAAGGACAAATGTTGCAATTAAACAAGTTAAAAAAAAAAAGCATGAAAATAAAACCAAGTACCAGACAAATGATGCACATTTTTCAGAAAGATACAAGAGAACAAGAAAATCAGCTGTGACAAGTTCTTTACCTGGAGTATCGCTTAAGATTTCTGAGGTCCTACACAGACTTTAATCTCTGAGTTTGCAGTATAGTCTGTACAGAGCCTTTTCCACTGTTACTGATTCTTCCAGTAAATTTCTGATTTTTTTTTTCCAAATTTTTTCATTTCATGTTGTTTACAAGGTTAGAAGGCTACAGAAACATATTCTGAGGCACTGTAAGATGGGAGAAGCATGCATGTCTCCAAAGCAGAGCTACAGCTTCCTCCAATTACTAACAACAAAGACCCATGACAAACAAAAAGGACAAGAAGGAGAAGGAGAAAAGAGTATCTGGAGAGTTTGCTTCTTGATAATCACTACACTTACAAAAGTAAAAAGACATTCATTAATGTTATGAATGCTAAAACTAGGCTAATTACCAGTGATTCTTACAGTTCACTAGGCCCAGTCATGGCAGTAAAATGCAAACCCAGCCACCAGAGGAATGGAAGCCTGCACAATGAAAAGTTAAGGTAGAGAAAGAGCTGGAAGTGGTTCTCAACACACAAGGTTATGGCTAGAAAACCAAACTCGCTGTAAATGAGCTACCTCCAGTACCTGCAGCAGTACAGTATCATCAACATGGGCTTATACCAGCTACTGTACCAAGTCTGCTTGCTCTCAGCTGGTCCCAGTTCTCTACATGACCAGGCTACAGTACTTGGTGGCCAGCGCTTGGCAGGCTTTGGTGAATCCCAGTGTCATTTGCAGAGGCACCAGTAGCAAAAGGAAGTGCAAAGAGCATGGAAATCCTATGGTCAAGGAAGCCTGAGGAGGAAGCTTGTCACTGAAATCAGCCATGGAAGACAATGGGCTGAAGGAGGAAATGGTTCATGAGTGACAGGCAGACAGGTATTTTAGGCTTAATGTTTTATACAATGTCTTTGAAAGGCATCAGCTGGTACAGTATGTTAATTTTGTCAATATTTATGTATGTTTTTAAAAAATGTGGTTGTCACAAAGATATTAAACAAGGCAAAGCAGATCACTTACAGTAGGTAATTCCACCCTGCCCCTCCTCCCCACACACATGTGCTCTCCCCACAGGAGACACCAAGAGGAATTCACAATAAACAGGCCTGATTCCTCAGTTTCCTGGTAAAGAGAGAAAAGGAAATGAAGGCTTATTGGTTTTGACTGAATAACAGAGAAAACAGGGCAAGTGAAACTGTATCAACATTGATGAGAATTATGACTGAGCTGTGCTTCTCCACTTTTGTTTTTTGCATTCTTCATTTTTACACAAAAAAGCAGTGAGACTGGGAAATGCTCAGAGAGAAACTTCCTTCTGCAACCAGGAGGAATTGATAACCCTACCAGACATCCCAGGCTTCCATCCAAAGAAAACACAGGAGGAAAACAAAGCTTTCTTTGTGAAGTGGGGCAGGTTAAGGCAAATGGGTTAGATGGCATCTGAACAGAACATCAGTAGAAAAGACACAATGATGCTGTAAAACTAGATGAGGGATTCCGAGGTTTCCATACAGCCCTACAGCCTGGACATCAGGCTGCAGCAAAAACAAAATCCCTGTGCTGGATTTCTCTGCTCCTCTGTTTTTCCCTGTACTCAATATCGAGGGCTGGGTCACCAGTGTTTTTCTTTCTGGCTAAAAAGAGGTTTTGTCAGCAAGAACAGCAATTTATGCCTGCAAAGCTGCCTCTCCCTATTGCAGAAAATCTACTGCAGCTTTTTTAATTCACAGAAGTGACAGATTAGCAGCTCTTCCAGAAGCCAGATGTAGTTTAGCTGCATAGAGTAGAGCCTTTACCTCCACTCCTCAGTGTCATTTATCCACCATTTGAAACTCTCTTGTTGCAAGTCTTTTCTCCACACCGGTGACTGCTGGGCTATCTGGTATGCCTTCACGAACAAGTATCAGACAGTGACAGATATTGGGATGTACTGAAACTTTCTTCCAGGGTCTCCACAAAAAGTAACATATCTCTACCTGCCTCTTCTCTTGGGAGAAAGCCCAAGATGAGCCGCAATCCACTTCTAAGACATATTATGTATCCCTCAACATGCCAGGTAGACATTACTCCCCTCATGCTACCCCTTGCCAGCTAGCTAAGGGGGAGAAATCTGGCTCCCTCTTTGATAAGAAGTTGGAGACTCAAAATGAATAAAAGAAAATTTTACCTATGGTATGATAAAATGCAAGATTACTGGAAAAAAACACTAAACAGTAGAACACTAGAGTGCAGGGAAAATACAATACTGCACTAAAAAAAAGGTGGTGAGAACAAGACTGAAGGATTAGCAGGAAGTTCTTGGAAGTTTCCTATCTCCTCTTCTTCCCCCTCCCTGCCCCACGCATTTAAACACAAGGGAGATGGATGAATGGGATGGGGTTGAGCACTGAGAAGCAACACCACCCCTCCCTTCTCTGCATAGCACAGCTCTGCTTTCCCTCCTACACTTGTTCCTGGTCTGGCTCCTTTTTAAAAGCCACTAAATAATCACACTGTAAAATGATGAAGTGAGAAGAACACCATACTTTCAACATCAGCAAATATTTCTTCAGATCTGTTTGGTTCTGAAAAGTTCCTGTTCATGTACATCTGCTTAATATGTTCTCCCCTACCAAACTGTTACAGATTTTAAAACAAGAAATGGTGCATGGCATGTAGGGACAGCTTATGTTAGAAGACTGCTAATTTCAGTTGCACCTCTAGAAGCGTCCAACAGAGTCAATACAGTTAATGTTTCTTTTAATCTAAATATGTATTTTTTAAAATCAAATGTATTGGTACATTCTAGTATCTATTATCTTGAGGCAGAATTTTCGATCTCTCTGTCCAGGCGGTTTCCACACTCAGAGCACAACTGTGCTTTTGTACCAAAAAGAAACACTTTGGACAAACCTACATATTTTCCTATATATTAGGAAAAATTTCTTCACCAAAAGGGTTATCAAGCATTGGAACAGGCTTCCCAGGGAAGTGATTGAGTCACCATCCCTGGAGGTATTAAATGACGTGTAGATGTAGCGCTTAGGAACATGGTTCAGTGGTGGGCTTAGTAGTGTTAGGTTTATGGTTGGACTCAATGATCTTAAGGGTCTTTTCCAGCTTAAATGATTCTATGATTCTAAACACTTTCTGGCTGTGCCCACACTATTGCTTTCTTTTCTCCACACAGGTACATATCAGTTGTCTGATCTAGGTTAGAAATAAGGAGGTATAAAGGCCTATTAATAGTGCTAAGAGGATAAAGTTGCACTGATACCACACTAGCAAGTTCCTTCATAAATCACAGAATCATGCTTGTACAGACAAGAACCCCAGTACACATTAAACTGTCATGTTCTAGGGGTGGAACTGGGATCCTGTCATGGCTGAAACAAGTCCTTGAGAAGCCCTGAGTAGAGGAAGCAGCATGTACCATAACGCCTGCTAAATTACAAAATTTAGTGCTGGGCACCCTCTGACAGAGATAAGCACACGTTTATAGTAATTCTGACCAGAACTGCCCATTAGGAGTTAGTGCTCATTCAGAGAACGTTCAGAGTAAAATGCCCTCTACTCAGTGTGATGTAAAAAATACTTTTTGACTGTTTTCTACAGAAATTTAGCTTGGCAATAAAGCTCTGTGTACACATACATATATAGCACTACATAGCTCTCAAACATGCTGACCAGCTTAATCCAAATTTGGGAAATGGCAGTCATTTCCAAGATAACTATATGTGCAGAGGTGTCACAAAGAGACCTACTCTGCCAGTGCCTTCTGCAGCAGAAAGATTTCAGCCCCATTAGATGCTGGAAGACCTTCACAGCAGTAGCATGTCATGGAGGTCGCAAACAAGGAGAGAGCTTCTGCGAAATTTCACACCTTTTCAAACATCATCAGCTATTATGACAAAACAAAACTAAAAGAAATCAGATGTCACCCCATTGCCCATGGTATTGTTTGTTTTCCCTAGACAAGATGAGGCCCAAATGCTATGGACTGTGAGCTTCTCTAACACAAAGAACTATATATACATACATATATACACAGACATATAGATATCCACAGACCCAAGCCAAACAAATACGCATTCAGTCTTCTACCTCTTCTAAACCACCTGTTTTCCAGCAATTGCTTCACACCGTTGTCTCGCAAGCTACACTGACCTTTAAGCCTCCTAATGGTGAAAATCTTTGCAAGCTTTGAGAATATATTTTTGCTTTTAAGCAGATGTTAAAAAAAGCCATCTTCCAATTTGCACAATTCCATTGTCTTTTGTTTTTTTCTTAAAAAAAAAAAAGTTTTAATACATACCACTGCACCTTACAGTTCCTTAGTGAGATGTTTCTCCCTTTCAAAAGCCTCTAAATCAATAATCATGCTTTGCATGTAATGTGGAACTCCTGCTCTCTGCTGGACACAACTTCACAGACTTCAAAAGATACCATCAACTAGCAGAGCGGGAACCCAGCCTTGACTTTTCAATCAAAGCTGCAAAATTAAGACCTTCAGCCAAAATCTGAATTTAAAGGCTCAGGTCCAGATGCAGTTTTCAACTAAAATGACAACTGAGAGCCACAGTCATGCAGGTGCCAAATGAAAAACCAACTGATTTTAATGCTTGTTTCATGATTCTCCCTTCAACACAGACAAATAGCTACAGTTCATTCAAGACTTCATGGGTTATTTCTGCACACAGCAGCATATTTACAAGTTCCATGACTAAATTTTCAAAACAGTTTCAATAAACACAACTACCTTCTTTGAGTAAAATTGATTCGCTTTACACTTCACAGTAAATGGAAAACAACAATTGACTTAAACAAGAGCCTACTTCAAGCAATACTCAGATATTGTCAACACATGGGACCCTGGTAACTAGATACTAGAATGATACAAATGCAGAATCAGAGGCCTGCATTACTTATTTATGGAAATAGGAGATTCGATTGAACTAAGATAGAAGGAGATACACGGTATTATCACGTTGATAATGCTCACAAGATAAACGGGAACTGAAGTGAAGTAATTGTCCTACACTGGAGTCCCTGACGTGTTCCTATCAAGGATCTTTAATGTGGTCAGACAAGAGCACTCATCCATCTAACCAAATGGACAAGCACAATTTCAGTTTTGTTATGCTTATTCCTAACTTCTGCTCTCTCTCTTTCATTCCTTTTGATCATCCTTTATTGGAACTTAGTATTGATACTCCATAGTGTTCCCATACAACTTCAGCTACCATTCCAAGAAAAGAAGTCAACATATACAAGATGTGATTATGGATGGAGGACAATTGAGTAAAGTCTCTATATGCTTTACTGCAACTAAAGACTCACAAAAATCTAGTGAAAGCCATGTACACCAAATGTTCTGGTTTATAGGACTCTCTGAGGAAAGGACTGACTTTTTTTTTTCTTAAATAAAAAAAAACATAGGGGGAGTCTGGGCAGTGACTCAGGCTCTTTCCCTAACTACAAAATAACAAGACAATTTTGTATCTCCAAATCAGAAAAACAATTGAAAGTCTGAATTACTCAATCCCACTAGCAGCACTCAGAACAATCAGTTACTGCTCATGTTCTTTGCACATCGTACTTTTGTAATCGCTACCTCCCCTTCTGGCAATTTTGTACAAGTTTTATTTTCTGAAGTGGGGTATTGCCAGGGAGTTACTCTGTAAATATTATTTCTGGAAATGATAGATCACTTGTGCACATAGTGATTAAAAAATTCATAATTAACACCTCGTTACCTCCCCAGGTGTATATTGGCATGTCCAACTATAACCAGAGCCAAAAAAATTCAGCTGCTAAGCCATTCAACTTAGCACTGTTCTTTCAGGGAATGTCCTGCTAAATAAATACATTTAAGTAGTAGTAGCTATGAGTTTCCTCAACAAGCCACAGCTGAAAATGAAAACATATATGACATAAAACCAGCTATGGTGTATCAAAGGCTTATTCATTTTACCTGAATACATAGTTGATGTACTGTTGGTCCAGATCACTAGGAGAGGAAGGAAAGAAAAAAAAAGGTGTTCTTTTAATAAGAGATCAGTATATTAAGTAGTACTATAACACTGTAGTATTACATAACATTATATAATAATATATGACATAATGTTATAATTAGGTCATGATAACATTATAATTCTATATATTGTAACATTATTAATATTATCATAGCAATATATTCATCAGCATATTAACTTACACATCATTTGCACATTATTTATGTTGTTGCTATGTCAGCAGGAATTTCATTTAAAGTGAAGATAAAGTGAGACTGACTAAAATTTGGACTCTTTAAACAGAGATGGAAAATGGTTTTGAAATAAATCCTTATCCATATTCTATACACACATGTATTATGTACATATACATAATATTCAGCGGCAATATATCCAACCCATCCATGCAGACAACTGCAGATTACAGACACTGTGAATATGTAATGCCACTTGCTCTCAAAACAACTATTGTCTAGCTGAAGTTCTAACAGGTACATGGGATCAGTGCAAGGTTTCAAGGTTTTTAAGGTATTCAGGCCATTCCAGCCCCATAGCAAGTCACCAGGTGCTAAACACTTTTGAGACTGTGTCACAAAGGGAGGTACTGACAAATTCAAACCATGCAGGTTTCAAGACTAACACAAACTAACGTTTCCTCTTAGTGTCTGTAATTAGGGGTTCTTTTCCCAGGACTGAGTCATCACCCTTTGATAATACACTGTTTAAAGCTAATTCAGTATTCAAGTTAGCAGCGTAACTATCAATAACCACATGCTATTGTTATCAACAATAAGCCTCCTCTTGCAAGAGAAGTCACTAATGATTAACCAAGAGTGACCCAGCTCACGCTAATAACACAGAGATCCCTACAGTTTACCTGACCGCTACACAGATGTGTCTCTAACCCTCTTTGATAGCAATATTTTTAAAAGAGTATGAAAACACATTACCTTAAAGAGCTAGGTTTCCATAACTTGTGAAATACTTTGTAAGCCCCTGTAATTGAAATGACATATGTAACTGCCATAACATGCAATCATTCTGACAAACAACAGCTTGTTTGGCCATGATACCAGCAGATATGGAACCCCTCTGAATTACAGTTTAGCAACACAGCACAAAGGATAACTAAAATCTGAGTAAAATGAACCTATAGCTTCAAATTAATGGTTTTCAGAGTGTTAGCATTTCTGAGTTATGTCATGCTATGTGTTTCTGCTAGTCTGTTGAAGAAGAGGCAACTCCTAGCTCATGGCAACTACAAAAAAGTGTGTGTCTGCGTAACATGTGTGTGTAAATACATACAGAAAAGTGTCACAGAAGGGGTTCTTCAACACACCCTGCTTTGAGGGTAACTTCTATGACATGTTCATGTGTTTAGACTCCTACAACTGTTGGCTCTGAGCCATCTTTCCCCTTTAGAGTTCTCTCAGCTCTAAGATCTCCAGGTCCTTTACACTGACCTACCCACCTCTTGGTGAGCTCCCATTTCTATTCTGGGAAAAGCTTTAAACACTCAAGGAAGGAACAATACAGTTTCAGGATCTGTTTTATCAGACTCTTTCTTCAACGTTTTTTTTTTTATTTTATTTTATTCACAAAGAAAACCAGAACATGAAAAGCAAATCCAACAGAACCCTGTAATAGATGTCCTCAATTCTGTCTCTGTTAGACAAGCTGACGGGTAGAACACATGTCCTTTCTCTAATGCTCTGTGCAGTAAGTTAGTTCTATCGGTTTGCCCTTTCTTGTAGCATTTTTATTCTGGGTCAGTTGATAGGAAATCTAATTACACACAAAAAAAGCCCAACAGTCATATCAACAACTTTCTCTCAAAACCAAGAGAAATTGAAATAAGCTATATTTTGAGTATAAACATTATGTTGGCACTTCCTACATGTTTTAAGCACACAGAAGAGGCCTCCTGAAGACTTTCTAAGCAGTTTTCCACCTCCATGGCCTAGCACTGCTTTACAAATGAGACCTCTTGGCTCTGAGAAAGCAATTACAGAAAACAAGTATTCGAAGTGAAAAGTCCTTAGCTTTTCATTTTATCTAAATGAGCAAATGTTTACCATATAACATTTCCTAAAAAACCCCACACTATTTCTTATATATAGATTAACAACATACATATAGAATGAGATCTCTAGACTTCCCTAGACACAAATACATATAAACACATTACCTCTGCCCTGAAATTTTTACAGTATGAATAGACAAAATTAAGAAGCAATCATCCCTAATTTGCAGACAAGACTTAAGGTATGAATGAGTCACTCACTGAGTCTATAGGACAGCTAAGACCCAAATATAAGTCCCTTATTATCAGCCTAATGGTCAAAAAAAAATCTCCTAGTTAAAAATTACTACTCTTGTTTTCTTCAGATTTTCTTGGTCTGACTGTTTCTAGCCTTTCTGGGAAGAATTATGATTTATCCAAATCAATGTTTAGTCTGAAAAAGACAAAAGAAAACCTGACAGGTTATGCAACTCATTGTTAAAATTTTTTAAAAATGCCTATGATTGCATAAAACCCCCAACATTTCAACATCCTTCCTCTGGGAGCATATTCCATGATATTTTAGAATAGTTTTGTCAGTTTTTAAATAAAATCAGTGTCTGCAATAAAGCTCCAACTACAAGTTATTGCTTGGTTTTTTTCATGTTTCTTCTCCCGTCAGAAAGAAGTGTCTCTTAGCATGCAACCATAAAAAACTCCCAGCAAAGCTTAGTGCTTATTAAAATTGTATGTTTTTTTTTCTCATCCACTGTTAACTGACTGCAGTATCTAGTTTACTCAGTGGTTGTTTTCAATGTAAAAGCTATAAAAGTAATGCAAATGCACTTTCTTGTATTTACTGAGCTTCTTCGTTCTTTCCAAGTTTTTCTTACATTAAGAACCTTAAATATCAGTAACTTCATAATAAAGCTGATTTCTCCACACATTTACTCTTCCTAATTTTTTTTCCAAAAGGAAATAACTTACCAACACAGATCAAGTGAATTAGAGCCCATAAATAACCATTTGGATCAAACTGCAATAAAGAACATCTACATAAATAAAAGCACATTCATGTAAACATACATATCGCTATTTCCCCACAGTTATTTTCACAAAACAAGTACAGCCAGTAGGAGATATGCTACAAAGAAAGAGAAGATGACTGAAGAAGACTAGGAAGACTGAAGTTTTTCCTGTCCCACTTAGAGACCCAGCATATGCCAGTTACTCAGGCTCTCAGCTAATCTTGGTGAGAATAGCTTTATTTCTTTCAGAGATGTACACCATTTTAAACAATCTCAGCATATGGACCACATTTAGTCTTGTACTGGCAGTCAAGGAGGGAAAAATGTATCAGATGAATATCACTAAAGTTTTCATCTTGTCTGCTTTCCCCTCAGCCCCTGCAGCAGCTAAGCAGTCTCTCTCCCCAAGGCTCCAACTCACCAGAGCATCCAAAAGAGTGCTTAAACAGACATCTGCCTCTGAGCAAGGTATGTTCCCTTTACAGCCAATGAGGAAAAATCAACATTTTTGAGAGGATATTGCCATATTTTAGATGTCTGCTTTCAGGTGAGATTAATTATATACCAGAAGTTCCCACTCTGCACCATGGACTATGAAGGGAGCTAGCGCAGGTACAACACTTCTGATGGCTACATTTGATCGGATGCATCCAGACAAGTTCCGGATCCATCCCACCTGACTCCAGATATTAACTAAAGTACCTAAAACAAGGAAGCAGACTTTCTAAGTCTCCAAAAGAGAAAAGCACCTCCAAGGAATAGATTTTTGCTGGACTGAGCACTCTCTGGAGGTACCTCCTTTCTTTTTCCAGTTGCTTCAGAAAGCATGTAGAGTGAATACAAAGCTAATTTAGGAATCTCCTGAAAGTACATGCTATTAATTCAAACCTAAATTATTTGTTCTAAGCCCTATAAGAAGTTAAACCATGGTTTCCCCAAGCCATCACCTTCACTGAGAGATGTATGCCTGCATTATTCAGAGGTTTTACCATAACAAAAACACATTAAAACCAGCAACAGGCAACATTTATAATTCCTTCACAGGAATCCCACCCTAGCTTACATGTAAAAGCTGCATCCCTCATATGTTAACAAGATGTCAAACATTAAGGTCTAACTCAGGCTGCTTCGCAAAGTAGAGCTCACCTGTGTGTCACATAATGGAAGGCACACTGCTGCTACCAGGAGGAACAGCACACTGTGGAGAAGGGGAAAAAAACCAAACAAGACCAAAAGCTTGTAACTTGGATTTGTACTCTTAGCAAAGTATTAGGCAATTCCACTCAATCATATACTGATATTTCATTTATTTAATTTTTATTCCATATTTTAAAAGTAATTTGTCCCACCAAAATGAGTTTCTCATCATGCATTCTTCATAACTCATACACAGCAAAGTTGAATGAGAACAGAAGCAGCACAAAACATCTCAGCAGTGATGAAAACAAGTTTTTTGGTAGGAAATGTTATTCTTCACTTGCCATCTGGCTTCCCTAGCCTACTTCAGAAAGCTAGAATTAACCAATTTCTGACTGTGAATGGTTATCAACAAGTTCCTTCATTAAGGTGAATGACATATAACAACAATTCCAGCAGATGTGACTCCATTAAAAGTTACGGTGAACACAGAGCAAAGTGGGAGCATTATTACACTAGAAATGGCTTAAGGACAGCACAAGTCCTTCCCTAGTCCACTGACTTGGACCAAATAAATTCTTAACCTGTGGCTGAGTCGGTATTTCGACAGGCTACACTGAATACACTGATGTGGAATTTCTATGAACTATAATAACAAACATTTGCTTTTGCAGAAAAAAAACCAAAACCTTATTTTCCTTCTCTTTAGGGGCATAGGAAAAGACAGAATAACAATGATAAAAACTCCCGTATCCTTGACAATAATCCAGTGGTGAAAACAAGGACCCAGTAAGTCAAATAATGGAAACAACAGGAAGCAATTAGGAAGATGGTCCCTCTAAGTACACTAAATAATAACCCAACATTATCCACTCTATGTACAGCTAAAAGATTAAATGTGGAGGACAGCAAATATGCATTCTTCAAAGGGATGGGTGGGGAAGAATTAAACTTTTAATACATGACTGGCTGATTTCTGTTTTGTCCCTTTCTATCTCCTTTCTGAAGCCTAAACAACTAGGGCCAGCAACGGTCAGTAGTTTGTGTAGCTTAATATTCTCACAGAACTGGGTATCACTCCCCTTTAATTTCTTAGGAAAGGCATTTTTAGCTATTTTCTATCACATTAATAATCTTTCTCTTACTGTTTAAGATTACCCACTGGAACTTCAGACCTGACTATCTCCTTTCCAATAACACACCTACAAGCACTGCTCTGTTATTCAGGAGACTGGCCTTCTGGCTTTTCTATTTTTATAAGGAGAAAAAAAAAAGTATCTAATTAAGCTATTGTTAAAAAAACCCCAACATTTTAAAAATACTTAATTACTCCTATGTTGCAATTTAGGCTCACCGCCCACGGGAACGTGCCTTAAATTCTTCATTGTTTTGGTGTGCCATTATCTGAAGCAAATACAGAAGCTGAAGCCAAAACAAGTCTGAATCTGAATCTGAGCAGTATCAAAAGCTTACCTACAGACTTTCAGATGAGAGGTCTGCTGTAAAAAAGAAAGTATGATTAAAATTTAAAAATTTAAAAATAAAAATGGTGAAATAGTGTTTTCTCCTTCCAAAAACAGAGAAGTGATGATAGCAGATTTGACTGCACTGAACACATTAAAAATACAGTGAGCAACATTCAACAGCCTATTATGTTTGAGTACTGCTTCGCAAATTTCATTTGAAAAAAGAACCATGTCTACAGATTAGCCTATTTTAACTTGATTTATATTTTCAGATTATTTACCAGCAGGTAAACCTAAAACCAGACATGAACTTTATACCTGGTCCTCAAACCTCACTTGAACTATACCAAAACTATGTATTGCATGACCTCAAATACTGAGTACTCTTAATTAATTAGGTATTACCCCAGACAAATCAGTCTTGGTCTAAACTCATGAGAGTTTCCCAGCCCTCTGGTCCAAAATTACTCTCCAGAAGCTTCCCAGCAGGGCCTGTGTTTGCATTCTCCTTGTCAAGAGTGCTTTTGTTTTCCAAGAGAAGAGACATGAACATGTGAGTTAGAAGGAAAATATGAAACACTTTGACAGGGACACCAATCAGAGGACAAAACCACAGGGACATGCCATGGTACACACTGCTATGTCCCTTAGGCATAACCTTAGTGACCTCTTCAGTTTGTTAGTAGCAAGCATGGGCCATTTATTAGTCTTTTATATACACAACAGAGGTAATGAATGGAAGATCCCTTCCACAGCAAGCCAGGGGCCACTGTAGAAATGACTTTGTGATGAATGATTTCCCAGTGTTACCTCACACAGCAGCTCTCTGGTCAATTAGAAAAGCATTTCATAGCCTAAAAAGAAGGATCCCCAATGCAGTTTGTGAGAAACAAAGCCAGCTCTTACTAAGGATAGCAGGAATTACTCTCCTGACTTATCTTGGGACAGATTCTCAAGCATTCAAAGCAAATCCAAAAGTTCACTGTTTTCCTGTATTTCATGTGGAGATGCGATCTATATACAACCATACAATACATCAAATACTAGGTATATTATACTGGTTAGATCTAAGGACCCAGTACTCCTTCCTCTCAGCTCAAACAGTGAGATTCTTACATAGGGCATGAAAGAGGCAATATTAATTTCCAAAATGAAAAACCAAGCACAACCAAGCTAGTCTTACAAATTCAGATCAAATTGTCGAGACACATTTGCAGTGTTTCATCAACTAAAGGGGAAAAGAAAACATCAATATAGATACTTGTCAGTAGCAAAGCTCTCTCTGGGTCTTAATGACTAGCTTTCACAGCAAGACTAGAAAAGCATATGGCCATATTAAAAGAAATTAGGTGTCTTGTTATAGGGCAATTATATCACAGGAGGTACCTTGAATGTTTCAATTAATATATCAATTACCTCTTTCTGCACAAACTTCTGGAACCCACAGGTTATAACTTCTGCTGCGTTGTGCACGGTGAGGAACACTGGGATTGGCTGCCATTGGGAGAGAACAAAAACACCCAGATCAACCCAGAACAGTCAGTCACACACATAGGAAGGGGCATTCCTCCTAGGGATAGCTGTCCCACAAGTTTGTGGGTTTGCTTTGTTTTTTAAACTGTAAACCTATGCCACATTTCTTAAAAGAGACTTAGAACTATTCCAATCACTATTACATGGCACAGGAATCTTTAAACACAGACCCTGCTTGCTGCTTCTTCCACTTTCAAATGCTTGGTTGGTTTGTTTGTACACAGCTACCTTGGTGAAATTTGCTTCAGGTTTCTGCCTCTAGTTTTGCATCTCTATTCAAGTATCTGCAGCCTCCACGGTAAACAGTTCGCATTAGTTTTTCCATCTCTGTCTACTGGTACTAAGAATACAGTCTGACTCCTAGCAACAGAATTATGGGTGAGATGATTTTAGGTGATTGCTTTCAGTTACTGCTAGGAAGAACTGCCCAAAATTAGGGTAGAAATGTAATAGTTCATACATAAGTGATGTTGAAATTATACCTAGTGAGGTAACTGGACACCATCCCAACATGAAATCATTAAGAAACAAACCCCAATGATAACAATAATGAATCAAACACCCATTGCCCCAGGCAAACCCAACCAGAATTAGTGGTTCATAATACTTCCTCCAAATCAGATCCACAGTCTCTCACACAGTTGAAACAGAAGCAATTCTCTGTCCTGATTAAGATAATCTAAACACTAAGACAGTTTTAGGAAGCAGTATTTCCCCACCTCTGTACAGTATTTAAATTACACTAGTAGAGAATGAGTTAATTTCTCAGTGATGTCCATGCCTTTTAAGTATTAGGTGATATAAGCAGCAAATATCTCAATAAATTTGAATTTGTATTCAGAAATCTGTATTTTCTGATTTTTTCTTTTCATTCCCATAAAGCTGGATAAGCATCGCTTATTAAACATTTTAAGTTATAATGACAACTTGGGTGGATCCATAAACACAGCAGTTACACCAAGATAACTTTTAACACCTCTAAATTAGCAAGGAATGAAAAATCACACAAACACAACCAGCATGAAGTTGTCAGGCCCAGCTTCACCAATTCTGAAAACGAATTCTCAACCCTGCTGCAGAACAACTGAGAACATAAAACCAGAGGTATCTAACATAAGCATCCTGAGCCTGACACAATAATAGGAAATACAAGAAATAACCATACACAAGTAAAGTTGTCAGCAGAATTTACATTCCTTTTGTGAAGCCAATTTATTTGGTTCATCTTTCCTCCCCCCCTGCTTTTGGCTCTTCCAAATGCATTTTGGAGCCAACAATGGCTCCAGTTTGCCTAGCCCAGTTAACCTTCTCCATATGTCTTCTGTCTTTGATGTGTTTCTTAAATTTGTGAGTGGACTTAATGCTTACAAAAAGAAAGGTTTACTAGTTGGGCAGGCTGGGTGAATAGACTGTACAAATCTCCCCTCTCCACTTTGCATACTTTTGTTAATGCTAAGCAGCCCTCCTCCAACACCAGCCCCAAACTCCTGGGCACAGGAGACTGACAACACCTCTAGGGAGAGGCACAAACAGAGATTAAGACTGTAGCCCTGCCAGTATACAGGAGCATTTGAAAGTTGGTCTCCCTGGCTTTGATCAAAAAAGTGCACGTAATTTCTGCTTCAGAAATATACCCACTTAATTAAAATACACTGCTGAGGTGAGGCAATTCAGGTACAAGTTTGGGAAAGTCCATTTTCCTTCTCATCATGCCATAAAATTGTTGTGCACAAAGTTATCGTAAGTAAAGCTTCTATGTAGAATTGAATTTAGCCCCAGTACAAGGCATTATACAGTAACTATGGCCTAAGACTATTTGTCCTTTTGTCTTTCCTCCTAAACTGGCCACAGAATTAGGCCTCTAAATCCCCATTCATGTACAACAAAAAGCCATTCGGAAATGGAAGATGCTACTTAGGAAAGGTTTGAGATACAAATCAAAACCATTCACAGGCCCTCTGCCACTCGCTCTTGAATGACCAGAAAGGGGACAGAAGGGAAACAAGGTAACTTACAGGATAACTAGGAAGTAAGAATAAATAGCAGAGAGGATGTGATTCATACCTCCTCCACCTCCCAGGTGAGCAGGCAGCAAAGATGCTGCTGCCAAGGTTTTATTGCTGTTTTAAGACAGTGCTCTCCTGAGGGATCTTTACTCAGTTTACACCAGGGAGGCCCAACAGAACTTGCTTTGACAAGGACTCTAAAGGAAGTAAATGCAATCACCCCAAAACAGAGCTAATCTGGAGGCACGGGGCTTCTGAGCACATGCCTGTGCTTTCCAAAGGTCACCTAAGTCTGAGGTCAAGCTCCCAGCCTTGTCTGTGAGGACAGATCTCCCGTCCTTTTCTGCCCTACCTATCCACTGGGATGTTCAAGGGACCACTACAAGCAGTATCTTGTGAAAAAAATCCCTTTTGATCCTTCTTGGGGTTTAGGAGCTGGCTTTGGAATTAGATTAGGATGCATTGACAGAAAGCAGAAAAGAACTAGTGCAAAATCTGGCCTTGCAAAATGATACTGCTGTTTTTAAAAAATTCATGTCACCACTTTTTTTTTTTTAAAGAAAGACTGTATCATTTTAGTATAAAGCATTCAACTTAATGAAAGCAAATTTGATATTCTCTAAACATTTGGTAGGTTATTGTGATTCAAATAGTGTGATTGTGAGCCAGCAGTGTGCCCAGGTGGCCAAGAAGGCCAGTGGCATCCTGGCTTGTCAGCAATAGCGTGGCCAGCAGGGACAGGGAAGGGATCTGACCCCTGTACTCGGCACTGGTGAGGCCGCCCCTCGATTCCTGTGTTCAGTTTTGGGCCCCTCACTACAAAAAGGACATTGAATGACTCGAGCGTGTCCAGAGAAGGGCAACGAAGGTGGTGAAAGGTCTGGAGAACAGGTCAGGTCAGACAAGGAGCAGCTGAGGGAACTGGGGGTGTTTAGTCTGGAGAAGAGGAGGCTGAGGGGAGACCTCATCACCCTCTACAGCTACCTGAGAGGAGGGTGCAGAGAGCTGGGGATGAGTCTCTTTAACCAAGTAACAAGCGATAGGACAAGAGAGAATGGCCTCAAACTGTACCAGGGAAGGTTTAGACTGGATGTTTGGAAGCATTTCTTTACAGAAGAGGTTGTTAGGTGTTGGAATGGGCTGCCCAGGGAGATGGTGGAGTCCCCATCCCTGGAGTTGTTCAAGAGTCAGATCAACATATCACTGAGGGATATGGTGTAGTTGGGAACTGTCAGTGTTAGGTTAATGGTTGGACTAGATGATGTTCAAGGTCTTTTTCCAACCTATATGATTCTGTGAAATGAATCATAAAACTGATTAATCTAACCCTTCCCATAATCTCTTTCCAACTTTCAATTTATTTTTTCAAAACCTGTAAAGCATCAAAAGCCTCTCACTGAAATGGTCTTCATCCTATTCCTGGAAGAATTTCCCACAGAACCCACAGCCCCCTTTGCAAAGTTACAGCTAGTAACTTCTTCAGCTTCTTCCCTCCTTGCACAATTCAGACCTCCGAGTTCTGCAAAACACAGAGACCTCTAGAGAGATGCTGAGTGCTTTGCACTGTCACAGAAGTGGTTTTTAATACTGCTCTACACTTTGTAGGATTGGACTGCTGCTCTAGCACCATTAACAATGTATGTGTTATTTAAATCCCTCCTCTCTTCTTTCCCAACCCAGGAACAGCATTAAATACCTTGTATGAAGGGAATGTTCTTTGCTAATAAAGAAGAGGTAATAAAGAACTGACTTCTACTTGTGCATTTCTTACCAATCTAGACAGGGCCCTAGAGCCAGCATAAATAATGCCAACAAACAGTACTGAAGCAGGAAGCCATGACAGGATTTCAGACCTGTAAAAACAATTAAAATCCCATTACTTCACCACATTCTGTTTACATACAGTCAGCAACAGTTGCTTGCAAGGAATACAATAATACATATACATGTACATATATTTCAAAGGTGTGCATATTAAATTCCTTGTCTGATTGTTCAGTATTTCTCCCAAGTAGTAAAGAAATCTGAGACAGAAATGAATCATTTCATCTAATCCCAGCGAGGAACTATCTGCAGATATATTTTAATTTCTTTTACTCTTTCTCTGGCTCCAGTCCCTGCAAAATCATTCGTTTCATAGCAATTACTCCTATTGGTTTTACGGGAGAGAAATTTCAACTAATTTCCTGGATGTGCTGTAAAAAGAAGAAAAACCGACAAAGGCATAAAATAGAGTACTTGCACAGACAGCACACATTTTCACTATGTACAAACACACTTGCCCACCCACACGTTCACTTCTCAGCCAGATTTACAAAGAGATTGTTCCTAAAGATCAGATTGTCTCTGTGGGAGCCTGTCTCTAAGATTTCCTAATGATACTCCTTTGACTAAGCCTAACTCCTAGAGGCAGTTTGACAACTAATGGAGGAATGAAGTCATCACAGATTGATCTGATATTTTTTTTAGCCATGGTTACTGCAGTAGGGTCAGGTTTCAGGTCTGAGAAAGGGCTTCAGAATCTGCATTTTTCCTTTTTTTGATCTCAGTACTTAAAGGGAAGAAGGGATCAGGTAGGTGGTAAATTTCACAGAGAATAATTTAAGATTTTGAGCAAGGGAGGATAGCAGTAGCAGAGATCTAAAGGCTTGACCCAAAGACTTCCCAAGACTGAAGATACTGCCACCCCCATTCTTCCCAAGCTTTGAATTAAAGTCAAGAAAATGTTAGTGAATAATGCTGGTTCTCAAAACACAGCCAAACTGCTTGTAGTTCCTTATTTTGGATTACACTTCCAAGTAGCATGTAAGGCTTAACACATAATTATAGGTACTGCTACACTACCACACGTCATGGAACATAAGCAAAACAGACCACCAAATGATGAAATCAGAGCAGTCTGAATGAAGATAAAACACACCCAAAGATTCATGTAAACACAGACAAGGAAAAAAACCTAAACAACACATTTCCTCTTTTTTTTAATACATATTTTTCTAAGGTACTTGATCAGAAGCCCAGGGTAACAAAAACAGAGTAATCTTTAGATCCTTTGACTGGCATAAATATTTGCTCTGTTTTTTGGGGTAGTCGCCATATTTTTTTTATAAAAACACTGTTCCTTTTAAGGTTATTGACTTCAACTGGAATTTCACCAAGACCACGATTTAAAACTGTCATACCTCATTATCAACAAGTTCACATCAGACACCACCAAAAATATCCCCACCCTGTTGGAACTGCAACAAAAAGAAGAAAGGGGAGGGAAGAAAAGAAAGGAGGACTAGGAAGATGAAAGGAACACACAATGAAAACTTAATTTTCGTTTAGAACATAACACTCTTTCATGTTCCCCACCACTAAATTCTAGGAATCCCAAATATATCTTCATGTCCAATGCAATACTGTGACGTGCAATGGAAAAGGACTTCAGATGCTTTTTCCATGATGTTAGGGTAGAATTTTATGTTGCCAAGTGGGAATTTCAGGACTGAAAAAGAATGCATGGATGTTTGATGTAATGTATCACCACCAACAATCTGTCTTGTATGTAAACCAATTAGTAGCTTATGTTGGCAATACAGTGATGTACATGCAAAACAGGAAAGCAGTGATATACATGCAAAACAGGAACTGATAAGCTTGTGGTTATAGAGCTAGATCCAAAGCCCGCTAAAGTCAATGAGTAGTTTCCCCTAAACCACACTTTGGAGCTTTGGTTTAACCAAGGCTCTGAGCTGCTGCTTAGCTGTGGGACAAATTCAGCATTACAAGAAATGCCAATCAGACCACATAGGACTTCTGTGCCTATAAGGGTTAGGCAGAAACTGGGCGACAGATTGCACTGCCTATACACACTCCTCTATGCTTCACAGCGCCCTGGTTTTGGATACAAGTTTTGCAGACAGTCACCACCCTTTAGAAGCAACAATGATGGTGACAGAGTCTCTTACAGCTGGGAGTACTAGGGGGAAGCAGATGAAAACAGGATATCCACAAAACCTAAGAGAAATTACTCTAAGTAAGATGTTTCCATTTGGTCTTTATTGTGCAGCTAGTATTCCAGACTTTAAACAAAGGGTGATCTCTTATGCAATAAAATAGTTCTGCTGAGACACTTTGGGATAACCTGAACTGGCTCAGAAAGCATACGAGATCAGTTCACATGAGAGAAATACTGAGACTTTGTGGAAATAAACAAGTGAATGGGTGGCAGTTTATTATTTGAAGCATGACAAGACTGGGGACTTGATATGGTATTCTTAAGCATCCTACACATACAGAAAACACCCCCAAACCAACAGATTCAGAGACCAATATTCTGTAAGGGAAGGAGTGGAAATGTCCTTGTCCCAGTGGTAGTACTAAGAAAAATCACCTCTGGAGGGGTAAGGAGCTTGAGAGGAAGTGGCAGACAGAAGCTTTAAGACATTATATTTGTTTGTTGCAGAGTTTTTTGTTTGGGTGGGGAGGATGGTTTTGGTTTGTTTTTTCAATACAGAAAATATATCCTACAAGCCCAGTTCAGCAAAGCATTGAAGCATGTGCCTAATTCTTCTGAAGAAAGATAGGTTTAAACTCATGCTTAAGTAGTTGGAGGAATTATAGCTAAGACACCTCAAATAATTCTGGTCATTTCATTCAGTCTGTTCTAGAACAGGTACTCTGTATTAGCTAAACTAATGAAGTTTCTCAAGATGTATTTTAATCACTTTTCTGATAGTGTGCTGACATCTAGTGGCCTGAAGTCTCTATCATCAAAACCACGAACTAATTTATCATGAAAACTTTTCTTAGATAAAAACATCTTCTCCAACAGCAGCAAATGGTTCTTGTCCAGTATTTTCTTTAATGTCTTCCAAGTTTTGAAACACTGAAAATATCTTTTCCAAGCTGGAAAAAAACCCAATTCAATCTGCTTAATTTCATGATTTAAAGCAAAACTAATCATCTAGTGATGAAAAGCTGAACTAAAAAGGACATTACTGGTGCCTGTAGACGGTTCTGTGAAATCAGAATCTGCATAAACAATATACATTTGATAATAACATATATATCCATAGTAACTGCCACTAAAGAAAGGTTTGGACCCTAATCCTGCCTCTACTAGTATTACTGACAGCTTTTACACCAATCTCCTCATTTTATCTATACTGTAGATAAAAGATAGGAAGTTAAATTGTGCTTCCATTTACAAATCCACTTAAATTTCAGCAGAGGTAGACACTGTCACAGACATGAAAACAGAACACAGCCTGGTTCTTCTGACATACACACAGGCTTTCATTCCAAATGAGGAGATTCAGATTTACAAGTTGACAGTTTGAATCCCAAATGGAAAATTGATCAGTTCTCACTTGCTAATACAGAATCACTGAAAAAAAGTTACATTAGAAGGGAACTCTGTTAGTCATCTAGTTCAGTCCCCTAAAGCTTCAGTGTCAAGTCACATTACTCGGGTCACTGTCCAGTAAAGTTCTAAGTATCTCCAGAGGTGGAGATTCAACAATTGCTGTGGGCATACCTCTTCTAAACTACACCATTTTGCAAAATGAAAATGATGCTACAGGCCATACTGCAGAATGGATCCACCTGAGCAGAGTACAGTATGCTGGATGACTCTTCTGCGTTGCCATTGCACTCAGTTCAAGCAGATAATCTTTGTTTACAAAGCACCTTTTAAATTGGAGTTTGATCATTTTATCAATCCTGTACTGCAATGGCTGCTTTTGCTGTGCGGTTACAAATGCTAGAGTTAGGCAAGGGTGAATTATTCCCATTTATGGGACACGGCTCAGAGAAAAAGGCAGATCACATTTGTGGACTTCACTGCACTGAGGTTTTGGGAAAGGCTGTGTCAATGGTCTTAACTAACATTACCAAGATTTCTCTTAGAATACTGTAAAATAATCCAGGGAAGAGATGTGGACAGATGGTTGGGTAAATTATCCTTATAGTTTTCAGTAATGGCTATGCTTTTCTGATTGCCTTACCAGCGTTAAACTGCATCCACTTTATATCAGTAATCAGTTGAACTGTGTGTCATTGAACATTCATTAGACTAAAACACACACACGCAGACACACACGCAGACACACAGTGGCTTACACTTCAGCAAATTAGAAACTTCCACAATCAACTTAACTATGTTGTAACCCAGCTGCAGAAAATAAGTACTTAGCAGATACTGAAAACCCCACAGTACCTTGAACACAAGTTTATTTCCACCCAGCCCAGCTTCCAGGAGACATGAAGCAGAAGTCCACCCACTAATGTCTGCCACCTGAAATAGAAACAAAACAGCACCTCTGAATTGTTTGTCCTTTTTAATCACGTGGAGTATGGCCTTAGAACCCACAGAATTTCTCATGGCACACGCATGAGTCTAGTTAACTATTGTTTCTCTAGGTTACCAAGGATGCCACTATTCCTCTTCGAATCTTTTATTTTTGTGGACCATCATTTCCTCCAAATTTTCTAATACTCTGGTGCTTTCACATCCCGTTTTAAATGTTTTGTAAATCTACCACAACTACCTTAGTCATGTTACTGAATCCCCATTTTATCATCTTTTCCTAAGGTTTACAATAATAATAGTTATGTTACAGCCATAATGATCGGAAGATGCAAGTGAGGCAAGGTTTGTGACAAGAGATGAGTATTTTTTCATACACAAACTGTTATTGTTAGAACAAATAAACATGATTTCAGGATTCAAAGACTCACTTCACCTGAAGTAATAAGCCCCAAGGAAGATGAGTGTAGTTCTAGTAGCTTCAAACATCAGCTCTATGACTTCTCAGGGTTATTCATGCTAGGCTTAGATTACAAACTCCCTTGAATTCAAACTGCTTTACCCCACACACACCTTGTGTAGCAAGTGCCAAGTGAAGTGTCATCAACAATAACATCATTATGCTGCATGAGCATGATTCAGAGCCTCTAGAGGAAACACCTTTACAGTCAGATAACCTTGTATATAAACCACAATAGCACGGTTTTCTCACTGAAAAGGTATATAACAATTACATACATTCTGCGTTGACTTACCTATCTAATGACTTATCCTACCATAAAGGCATTCCCTATTCTATTATGGAGATACTATGTGAGGCCTTACAAATGAGTAGTGATGCACACTGGGTTTTAAAAGTTATTAGCTTCCTTCTTCCTTAAGCTAGTGGTTTTCAGAGAGGTGTTTCGTGATTCTTGGGAGAAAATCCTTGAACATCTAGCACAGTTAAGACAGAGATACTGTATTACAGGGTTAAATCACATTAGCATCTGTGACAGGTATAGACATGGTTTCATTTATTATTCCCATTCATTGCAATGCATTTAAGCAATTATTTGAAATCTCTCTCACACATACATATATAAACAATATTCACTCTATGCGGTATCACATACAGATGGATAGAGAGGAGCAAGCTCATTCTCTACACAGGTATGATGACTATTCAATGCTACTATCAACGCTCACTTCACCTTTTTAGATGAGGAGCATATGAGAGCTTAAAAGCCAAGTATCCCTGATGTTTGCTGCAAGCTTGACCATGCTCTATTCCAAGCCAGTGATGAATTCCCATTAACTTTATTGTGAAGAATTTCCTCATCTCAAGTTTTAGGACAGAAGTTGAAGTTAGTAACAGTTTCAGATGCTTAGCACTATGCAATATAGTCTTAGACTATAGAGGCAACAAAACCAATGACAATGAACAATAACAGCATGAACCGCTCATCTGTCATAGCTCTAAATGAAAACGCATCTGAGCCATTTAATAACTTTCAAGGAAAGGTCATTTCTAAAACCCAAAACTTATGGAAAAATATTAAAATGCTGAGATGCATTTCCAAATAATAGAAAAAAGAAATAACTGTGGTAACACAGATACCATAAGGCAGTTGCTTGCCACTGAAATATACTTTTTTACTGTTGATTTACCACACTTTTATTTTACATACGTTACTCAAAACCCTTTCCCCACATGATAAAAGCCTTGTCCAAGAGACAGTCCACGTATGTCTGTCAAATCTGAAGGAAGTATTTGTTGCATATTTAATAAAGCTCAGTACACTCAAAGAAAATGGAGACTGCCCAAGGCAGTTATTCCTAGAGTTGATTGTAGTCCTGGGGCTGCAAGTCAGGTAAAAATATAAGCCATGCTAAGTAGCAGTAAAGGAATTAAAAATCTCCAGTGTCTGCAGATTTTACCATTATCTCAGAAGAACAAATGGGGGAAGTCTTCATTCTAAGAAGCCAAATTTTCACTAAATATTTCACAAATTGTTAACAGCACTGATGATATATATATGGATACTTGACAAAACATTACATTTCTCATTACATCATTAAAACATGATAGTGACCTGTGATGCAGAGTTACAACAGACTAAACATGAAAATAAGCAGCATGGTATTTCTGCATGCCTGAAGATGGGTTTAAGGTTGGTTTTCATCAGAGAAAGAATACACCACCACTGCACATTATCCATGAGTGTCATTTCCAAAGAAGACAGGCTGTACTATACTCACTACTTTTCTATGCTGAAGTGTATGACTTTCAGGAAAATGAGAAATTACGGAGTTTATATATTTTAATTACATCATTATCATAATGTTAAATATGAATCAAGACACATTAATGAATGCTTTACTAAGGCCTCATGAAGTATGTTCTATAGACAGCAAAAGTCAGTAATGACGAGGTATTAAAGTTAGCTTCAGCATGGAAGAGCAAGGCGTTTACTGATTCAAGTAATTTTTCAAACAACTGTATTCTTAAAATGGTACTTACCCTTGAAAAAGGGTAGGGTAGGTAAATTTCAGGACAGACAGGACATACTGGAAAACAAATACCAAATTAATGGACATCAAACACCTACGGCATTATAACGTTAAGAATCACGAGAGCAACAAAACACAAAAACTTTCTACCAAAATAAAGGAAAACAAAAAGACAGAAAAAGATTTCAGTGATTTCACTTCTCATGCCAGAACTACTGGATGCTGTCCCAGTCACTGTGGAAGGCAGCAGACACTAAAGTACATGAGTGGACACACTGAACGATGGAGAGGAGGCTACATTCTGAACTGCTCTTTCACTTTCTGAGCTCACTCCATGCATTGCACTGAACAGGAAAAGGATTAACAGGAACAAAAAGACACAAGCACTTGTCAATTAAAATCATATTATACCACAGATGCAACCTTTGGCAGAATCAAGACCTATAATTTTAATGTAATTGTCTCCTGATGATTAACTCCTCTTACAGCCCTAACATTCTGTTCACACATCATTTTGTGTAAAACATTAAGCAGTCCATAAAGCCCTTTGGAGTTGTTCTGTATGGGGAGAAAAAAAGCAAAGCCTCTGTGTCTTTGCTTTATTATGCTTTGTCAGGGTCTGAACATATGGGTGTTAGTGTCTCTTCCCACTGTATATGTATATATGCAAATATGAGGCAGAAATACATATGCCTTTCAATGTGTATGTCAGGATCTAACAACTTCCCATAATAAAGTATATAAATACTATTTCTACAAAGGAGAAGAATGACTGAAGCTTCCTCAGAGGAAAGGAAAGGTATCTGCCATTCCTTCCAGGAGCCAGCAGGAGCTGTCAATGGCAAAAGGAGAAGCTGAAAGCTTTCAGAGAGGAAATAGTGTTGAGCGCTTTGCACGGTGCAGTTTTTAGGTGTGGGGGATATCACTAAGAACCTGGCACCAATATACAGAGACAAGGCATGATGATTCACAGCGAGTCATTGTTACACACACTTGTCTGAACTGCCACATGGGTTTTAAATCAGAACAATACACCTGCACATGTCCGTACTCTTATTTGCATTTACAAACCACCTGCAACAGCTGAAACGTCTATATTCTGGTTGGTTTTAACTTTATTACACTAAAACCTGCATTCAGGTTTGAAAATGGAGGCCCTATGTCAACTTCTTTTCAAGTATAGTTAAGCCAAGTACATTTTCCATTGCATAATGCAGTCCAGCAGCTCTTCTAGCCCCTTTCTGTTTAACTAATCACTGCTCCTGGCAGTCTGTCAAATCAAGTGTACTATCTCTCCCTACAACCTTTGCTTCACGTCTGGACTTCAGTCTGCTTCTGGGCATCCTTAACGGCAAGCACACTTTTGAAGAGAAACCAGTAGCCGATGTTGAGAAGAGATTTCATTTTCACCTCAAAATGCTGCTTTTCTCTAACTGTCCCTCTGGAAATACACACCCCAGTTGCTTCAAAAACATCTTTTCTTTCAGAAATCTGCACCAGAAACACAGACACACTCTCTGATAAATAGGACAGCAAGGAGTGGTTATTCTATTTCCTCCTCTCAGAGTGAGCAAACTACTTCAAACTATGTTTAAATTACACAATTTTATTCACAACGTGACCATCTTCAGCCTACTTACCCTGCTGAGGCCTTTCAGCAATACCAACTGGCAATTAACTTGCACAGTGGAAAAGAGACTTAAGGAGAGACCTCCTTAATTTGCAGGTTAATTAAGCTGTCAAAGGGTCTATAAAAGTTAACATTTGTTTCAGTAATACTACTTTGAGTATTTCAGATTATTCCCTTTGACACTTGGTATTATTGTTTCAGTTAACAGATCTTCTTTTGGGAATGACTGTGCATTCAGTGGTTGTTAAGATACCCAATAATAAAATACAGTCGGCATCACTGATGCTTTCAAAGCAGCACAATTTCTGTCTCTATAACATATAATTGACTTGAATAACACGATGTCACCCTTTTACTCTCCTAAATACACCAGCAGTGAAACTTATGTGTCGTGGACAGGTAAACGTGCCACACGCTGAGAAAAACTCGACCGGTAGAAGACAGCAATATTCTCAGCTTCGAGGGTACACTGGGAGGGACGGCGGTGGGCCTTCGGGCTGAAATGCCGGGGTGTTTTTTTCACTCGTGGGGTAGCCCCCCCTCCCCGGGAGGGGCTGACCCACCAATTCTCCCTGAGCAGGGCAGGGCAAGCAGAGGACACCGTCCCTTCTCCTCCTGCTGCTGCTGCTGCTGCTGCTGCTGGGTCCCTGCACTTACCTCGCCCCTT